CAGCCCCGACCAGGCTCTAAAGCCCACTTGCCCCTCTCTGGGTGTGGCCTTAAAGCAGATGACCTGTATGTTCTGTACCGCATCTTCTGGGTCCTCCATGCACAATGGCACAATGTCGGTGGGATAGGGAAACACGTCCCACACTGGTTGGTTCCTCTGCTCAGGTAAAGCAAGACCTCTGGCTATGTCTTGAAATTGAGCTTCATTGGAGTCAGAGGAAGCAAAGCCAGTGAGTGTCTGACAGGAGCGGATGGGCGCAGGACAGCGGATGTGCGCAGGACAGCGGATGTGCGCGGGGCAGCGAATGTGTGCGGGGCTCACACAGGTGTTTAGAGAACTATGTCCTTAGGTGTCCACAGCAGCTGTATGTGTGATCCTGCCACTTACGTTGCATAACTTTGATGAAAAAAACATCAGGGCATGGTGGCACACATGTTTGGTCCCAGCACTTGGGAGGCAGAAGCAAGAGGCTCTCCATGAACTCAAGGCCAGCCTAGTCTACAGAGTGAGTTCCAGGACAGTCAAGGCTACACAGAGAAACCATGTCTCAAAAAACAAAACAAAACAAAACAACAAAAAACAACCAACCAAACAACAACAAAACCCCGGGATTTTATCTAAATGAAATTATAGTGGTCTCACGAGCTGTATTGTTTAGACTTAGGCGTGTGAGAGCAGAGCAAAAGACAACTCAACGCAGCAAGCGCCCTGGCTCTTACTTGGAACTCACTTGAAATGTCTTTAGGAAGGCAAACCAGGTTCTGGAGGCGGTTTTGGTGGTATTAGTTGTACTGAGAGTTTCTGACTCCCTGCCAGATTCCAAGGGAATCATCCCATCCCGTCTCCTCTTAATTTCCTGTGTCTCTATCCAGCCCCTGTCATCACAGAGACGCAGCTCCCCTTTTTTTCTCTCAGATGGCCCAGCAGGCCAATGAAGGCCACACAGTTCAGGAGGTCTGAGGAGTTAAGCTAGCCTGGAAACAACACTCAAATGGTCAGTTTCCATAAATCACCCCAGCCTCAGAGTGGACAGTTCTGGGGGGGGGCACTATGTACCCTGAGGACTTGAGCCCTAGGTGCCCGCCACAATAGCAACTCCCCTATTCCTGTGCCCCTGGCAGTTCCTCTCTTGTCTAGACCCCCATTGTCCTTGCCTCACTCTTGCTTTCTGGGTCCTGAGTAAGTGACCTGCACCCAAGTCTAGCCTGTGTTTCACGATCTAGCTTTGCTCAAACGTTTGCAGGCCTGTGGTACCCTGGGATTTATGGCGACCCCAGTAAGCTAAAGCCAGGCCCTCCTCTGTGGAATCTTGGGGAGCATAGCCACCTATCCCTCCCTGCACGCTGCCTCTCCAGGTACTAGAGCAAGAGCTAGAGGATGTTGGGAAAATTATTTTCTTTCTGTGGATGTTCTGTATTGCTGCCTGTGCTTTGCTAAAGAGACCAGAGGGCCTCCTCACCCACTGTGAAAGCCACCAGCCCTGTGCCATCCTGCTGCGGAGGCTTCTGGTCACATGTAGCGATTGAGTCGACTTGTATCCTTTTTGCTATTGTTCTCTTTCTTCCTTTTTTTTTTTTCTATTTTCTTTTCTTTTTGGAAACAGAGTCTCACTATGTAGCCCTGACTGGCTTGGAACTCACTATGCAGAACAGTCTGGCCTTGAACACTTAGATTTGCCTGCCTCTGCTGGGATTAAAGGCAGGCTCGTGTTCTTGAGGAACTAAATTTTTATTTACTCAAAAGTTAAATTAAAATTTAGACATTGCTTCTCAGTGCAGTTACTAGGTAAGTTTTAAGTATATTTGACCCACTTAGGTATGTGAGTCTACTTTTCCAACTAGAAATGTTAGAAAACGTAACTACAGATTGAAATTTTTTTCTTTTATTTTGTATAGTTACATCATTTTCTCCTTGCTGTTTCTCCATACTAGCCCTCCCATATAAATTTCTTACTCTCTTTCAAATTTATTGCCTCTTTTTTTATTAATTGTTGTTATGTGCATATATCCTAAATACATAAATCAGAATGAGAGTTTGCTTGTTTGTTTTTTGTTTGTTTGTTTTTTGAGACAGGGTTTCTTTGTAACTCTGGCTGTTCTGGAACTCTATGTAGACCAGGCTGTCCTCAGACTCACAGAGATCCTCCTTCCTCTGCCTATACTGTGTGCTAGGATTAAAGGTGAGTGCCACTACCACCTGAATTGGTACCACTTTTATTGGACAGTTTCTTTTAGACACTACTCCTCTGTGGCTTTCATGTGGAAATCTGCAGCGTTGAAAGGTAAAATTCAATGTGTGTTTCCTATTGAGAAACAGTACCTCTAGCCCAGATGTATCATCTCTGTCTCTCTGGGAGGATGGCAGACTGTTCTTCTCTTCTGTGGCTTCAATATGGGGGAAAGACTATTAGAACGAGGTTTTCAGTGAACCTTGTTTCAGATAACCACTCAACTGTATTTGTCAAGGTGCTTTGCAAAGGTCTCTCTGTGGAGTACAGGATGGTCTCAAATTCAGTCTTGTCCCAGTCTACTGAGCACTGGATTATCCTTGTATGCCACCAGGCCTGGCAGATTTGGATTTAAACAGGGCCAAGGATCAATACTTCCAGCATTAGGAGTGTACCCCTAACTGGCGGGAAGCCAAATGACTGGTTATAAGGTGGCCACTTGACTCAATGGGATCCTAGCGGTACTTACAGCCTTCTTGAACAGCAAAGCCAGAGTCCTTCTGGTAGGAGTCATGGCTAACCTTTGCCCTGTTTCTGAGGTCATGGAAGGTCAGGTTAGAAGGGATGAAAGAACCCTCGGCTTCCTGAAGATTTACTCAGTTCTCCCTGGGGTTCTAACCTGAGAAACGCCCATATCCTTAGAGTCCATTCCACCTGGGGCCCTGGTACCTGCGTAGGAAAGCTTACCTAGTACACAGTTTTGGCTCTAGACAGAGAAATTTGTGGAGCAGGTTTGTGTTTATAGCGTAAGGGGAAAGAACTTGATGCATTTATCCATTTTTTTTCCACACCAGAAAAAGCTGATCAGTAGCTTTCTTGTTCAGCACCACCCCACAGCTGCGCTTTGGGTTCAGCAAATTTGTGGCTGGTCTGGGAAAGGATCGCCGTTTATAACATTGTTTCTATGGGAGACACATTCCAAGATCCAAACAATGAGTTTAGTTGAGAATATCTGGCTTCCAGGCAGACGGGATGCGCTGGTTGGCATGGCACATTGGGTTTGGTCTCCCTTTCTTTAACTGCTAGGTTATCGTTCCCTTCCTCTTTGACTTGGGGATCCACTGTAAGGTCGGGGATGTATAGACAGAATTTTGATGAGAGGTTATAGAATCCGCAGCTGGGTGCTTCCTTTTATGCACTAGGTTCTCCAGAGGTCTAAAGATGGAGAAGAGGAGGAGGCGGGGGATGGACAAAGAAACTTGACTTCCTTCACATTACTGTCACGTCTGCCGGCCTGCGAAGTCGAAGGGGCCCGCTTACCCTTTAGCGCTCAAGCCCTTTTGGTAACGAGGCCGGGTGTTAGAAAAGAAACATCACCCCACCCCGCTAACTGCCCATCCTCTGCTAGGAAATCTGCATTCTCTAGGCGGGCTGCTCCCTGGAACTGTCACTGTGCCAGGCGAGCCTTAGGGTCTGAGCCAAATCTCCATGCCGCTTGCAGAGGGCAGGCTCAATGGGGTGAGAGGAGCCACCTTATCCTCTTCACCCTGGCTTTCCGACCCCTCCTCATCCACTCCAGCCCGCCCGAAAGAAACGCGGGCAGCCCGCGCGAGCTGGGGGAGCGGGGAGCTGAGAGGGGGGGCGAGAAGTCACAGCATTGTCTGTCTTGTTGGGAGGGGAGAAGCTCCGCCCCCTAGAGGGGGAGGGAGAGGAGGGAAGAAAGGCGAGAGAAGAGGGGTGGGTAGAGGAGAGCTCCAAGGGTGACGGGTGGGTTGGTCAG